ATAGCAACAGCAAAAGTAGTCGAAATTTTCTATTTTTTCGGGAAATTTTCAGATTTTTTGCATTTTAGCACAGATGAATTTAATATAATTCGTTGAAATTAATACAATAATCCTCAATAAAATCAACGGAAACGGTTTTTTCCGTTTTTCAAAATTCAATCTAGATCGAAGTTTATTTAATTTTTTTCGCTACCAAAACAATGCATAATAATGTAAACAACAACATACAAACCATTATTAACAAAGCAAGCCTAACAAACAAGTAGATGTTTAGGATATTGTGTTCATATTTTAGTTAAACTGGAAAATGTGGCCTAAAATAGAATAAAACCATAAAGTGTTATATACCAATGTAAAGCTAATGAAATTGATTGACGGATGTACATATAATGTACGTTAGCACAGTACTACCCAGCAAAAAAATTTTTAAGTTTTTAAAGAAGAAGGGATATTTTCATGATTTCTTTAGAAGTATTCTATTTAATGCGTTTTAAATACATGCCTAAATTCTAATAAATTTGTCATCAGCGAAGGCATGAAAAATTCACCCAAATTCACTTATGTAACTCCACTATAGGAATTGTAATATTTTAGTATAATTTGGTATTCTCTTAGAAGATTTAACGAAAACGTGCATTTCATACAATAAATATTAAAAATGATATTATTTTTTTTTATTAGATTTTTAATTTTTTAAGATTTTAATATTAATAAGAGAAGGAAAAAACCAAAAATGCTTAACGGATTTTAAAACACAATGCGTATTTTTCCTTTGCATGAATTTAAATCCAATAAAAATCAGTTAGTTATGTTTTATCTTATTTTATTTGATATTGATAATTAAATCGAAATACCATTATTAATGCATTTTTAAATAAATATAGTGTACCAATGAAAATTCGCTTGAGAATCATCGAATATTCATTGGTTATACGAACTCATTTAAATGACGAACTATTTTTCCAAATACGAACCCATGCATGCCAATGACACGCTAATGTTAAAATCATGGATATTTCCCCTAAATATGAACCAGTTCATTATCAGTTCAACCAATGCATTTACTATCTTTTTTGTCCGTCTTTTTTTGCTGGGTAGTTAAGAAATAGGATTAAAAATCTATATATATAAAAATGAATGTGTGTTTGTTTGTATGTTTGAACGTTATAGACTACTAAACGGCTGAACCGATTTTCTTCAAATTTTCACAGCGTATTCCTGTATGTTTGGAATAGGTAATAGGCTACTTTTTATTTTGAAATTCCAATTGGGCGAGGAGCCACGCTCATATTAAGAAAATATTAAATGCGTATATTTGAGATCATATAACAGTTAGAGTCCTCAAATTTTGTCGGAGCAACTTTAGTGTCAATATGATTATTTAGGACAAAAAGTATCTTAAAAACTATTACAGTTAGAATCTTCAAATTTTGCACGAATAACTTTAACATCCATTTAAACATTTTGGGTAATAAATTGGCGGACTACCCATGAGGGGAGCGGCACCTCCCATATTAATTAAATACAAAAATTCGTTTATCTGGGAAACTAAAGAAACTAAATTCTTCAAATTTTGCACGAAGAACTTTCATCTGGGGAGCTTGAAGCCCCCACATGAATCAAATAGAAAAATTCTTATATCGTATATCTTCAAATTTTACAATTTTAACTTTGACATTCATGTGAACATTTAGAGCATAACGGGCGGACTTTCAATGGGTGGCATGGCACAACATGAATTAAATACAAAATTTCGTGTATCTTGGAAACTCTTATATTATTCAAATTTTTCATAGATATATAGAAATTGGTGATAGATAGAAACTGGCGAACTTCCAATAATTTGCTTGACATCTCTCATATGTATCATATTATAAATCTGGAAAACTATTGTAGTTAGTTAGTTAGTTAGTTAGTTAGTTTGAAAGGAGGATGAATATACATCAAATCCGAAGAAATACACCTAGGCCTCTATCGGGCCTGTTGTGCGCTCCTTAACCAGTGCCTCAGGTGGGAATCGAACCCACCACCTCCGGTCTACCAGACTAGAACACTAACCACTAACCTACCGGAGTTAGAATCTTCAAAATCGTTAAGTGGGTTTTTTATTTATACATATTGCTTTTAGGGTAGCAAAGCACACTGAGTATAGCTAGTATTTAAATACAATACAAAACATATCGAATTTCGAAAAACAGAAAAAACCATTTCGGTGAAATTGTATGAGGTTTATAATGAAATATTTTCAATTAATTACATTAAATAATTCGTCTCACAAAGACCTTTCATATGATACTAAATTTGCATATGGTTTACTTGTAAGAAATATGATAAATATCATAAAAACATTTAAAAAGGACCTTTTTATCCTTTGATCCAGCTAACCAAATGTTGATGTCAGAACAAAAATTTTGAGAAATGGTATTTTAGAACGAACTAAATAAAAGTAAAAATATGCAATTTATGCATTTATAACAAAATATGCAACAACAAATCGATGCCATTTTGTTGCAAATTCTTTGATTCGAAAAGAAAAGTAGTTAAAAGTTATTTTGAGTTACTGACTAGAAATATGCATTTGCATAAAAATCAGTGCCCTGCTAATTATATTGTTTTTAGTCGTGAATTAGTTCTGATTTTTAATTTCCTCACATTTTAATTATTTTTTGATATTACACATGTCTGTTACGCCGCTAAACGAATTTATTAGAGCATCGGATGCTCTTGTTACTTTCGGCACCATGTTTTAATGATTTGGGTGAGGAAATTCATAGCGTTTATACATTAGAGATTCAGGGCGAAGAAATAAGATTGTGGAAGAAAGTTAGAAGTTTTTCGAAACTTCTCCCGCAGTAAATCTAGTGATGTAGATGTGGCAGCGTCTAAATATCAGACCACATATATGGCTTATTTTCAATGTTTAGACTCTATTATTCAGAAAATGGACAAATTTAAACGTGATTCGAAGAATAGTGATTCTTCAACGGTAAATTTGAATTCCGATAATTCAGTAATTTTGATCGGGTATAGACAAGACGGTTAAGCGAGTTTTGTTGCGAGCTTTATTTTGGTAATTGCTCCTTTTAATGAATAATGCTATTTTTAACAACGTTAGAATCTTATGCCAATTTTATACATCTTTGTTGGAAGATTCTAACGAGTAAACCGTTAACTAGACTTAAATATTGTTTGCCACCAAATTATGTTGTGTACGACAAGCATTACGTGCACTTTATCTTCAATAAAATAAAAACCTTTTAACCTTCTACGAGGTAATATTTTGGTTTTTAATAAAAAAAAAACTACGTCTCATAAAACTTTAAAACATTTTATTTGTTTTATTTGCATATACAAAATCTCGGACAAACTGGATTGATCCTTTTTATCCTTCGAAAAATTTTTATTTTTTACATGCAGACGCATGAAAACAACAACAATGTTCAAATTGTGCTTTTTTGTGTGAACGTTGTTTGCTTGTTAATACAGTATTGTTCGAAACCTAAGCAACTTTTTTTGGCATTGTATACAAAGTACTACATTTTCTAATTTAATTGATTTATTCAAAATTATATAATTGATTTGTATAATATTATGTGTCTACATTATAATAACAACAACAAAAGTTTAATACCATTTCACTGTGAGTTACAAGAAAATAATAACTGAATTAACTCCTTTTGAGTTCCAAACACCTTTATGGAATAGAGTAGTTACTAGTGTAGTTTGTAATGAATCCCAATAGGATTTTAAGTCATTCGCCAGCTGCAATGTTTTCTAAAACTGCGAGTTTCGACCCAGCGCTTCAGAATGCCGAACAGCATCTCTAAAGGACTTGAGTCAGGAGATTTTGATGGACAATCAAAGAATTTTGGTCCTATTACTCGATAACTAGTCTTAGATCAACTTTGCCAAAAGTTTTGGTTCATTATCATGCTAATTTGATTTACTTGTATACCTATAAAATCTGGATATGAAGTTTAAATTTTTAATATTTTTTTTTTTTTTGCATTACATCTTAATATACTTGTGATTAACATTGTATATGAGAACAGAAAATTAAAATATAAAAAAATCAAGTGTGCTGTAATTTAATCAACAAAAAAATTTTCATTTATCGAAAAATATTTTTTGGATCAACATTTTTTCAATGTTTAGATGAATTTTAAGCAAAATTTGTTACTTAAAATTAGGATCATGATCTAGTGATGATTGGAATGGCCTTATACTTATGAATTAATTTGTAGATACATGTATTAGGGTAGCATTTTTTAAAAAAACATACATATTTAGATACTTGTTAATACACATGTATTTTAACTAGAAAGTTGTTGTAGATACTTTTTGATACACTTGTGTTCCGCTAGGAAGGTGCTGTAGAAACAATTTTACATACTAGGTATATCGGTAAGAATGTAGGAATAGCTACTTTTCCACACACAAGTATATTATACTCCTATATCCGCAGAAAGTTCTAATTACATTCGCCTGACGACGTAATCTTTAGTTTATCATTCTAGGCTTGTGTAGTCTATTTGGGCCTTTAAGAATAGTCTAGGATTACCAAGATTTCTTAAGTTAAAAGGCTTTGAAAAATATCAACCACTTTTTTTTAAATGTCAACTATTCGAACTTTTTGAAAACCTGTTTTTAGAAAATGTCGAATAATCGATTACCCTAGTAAATAACAAGACATTTTAATTTCTTCAAAAATTGTTCCATTAAAATATTTTCTCAATATTTCTTTTTACAAATATATGTATATTAAAAATGACTAATTAATGATTATTTCACTAACTTTACTATATAAGACCTATCGACTATAAGACTATATAAGACCTATAACGAACAAAATAAGACCTATCCAAATAACATCATCCATTTTTATGAACCTCTAATGCACATATTTATGCATGTTTGTTTGCATACGCATAAGTGTGTAATAAGTAACATGAAAAAAAGCTTAAAGAGCTCTGCAATAATTTTATATAAATGAAACTTACCAAATTTAATAGGTAATCCCTTAATTCTGGATTTCGTATGTCGTTCATTGTTGCTACCAACTGTTTAGCATGATTAAGTTTTGCTGTCGAATACAATACAGTCAAAAGAGATGGCAAAACTTTCGTTTCATTTGGAAACAATTGCTGTACCTCTTCAGTTAGTTCTTCAATCATAATGCGTGTGTGTATATCAAGATCACTGAATTCACTATCTAAAAATGATTGAATCCTGGAGCACATATGTTCCTAAAAGGATTATTCCACATACAATATGTATAACAAAATATTGCGTGTAACTGCGACAATGACTAACAATGACGCATTAATTATAAAAATAGCTTGCTGTAATTACGGACCACTATTAAATATTCAAAAACTGTTTAATATTTAACACTATTTATAAATTTATTTATTATTATTACAACAATTACTATTATTTTCCGTTCCTTTTATAGCTTGTTCCACGATTATCACGGTTATCGCTTTTAAGTATCAGTGAATAATTGTTATTTTTTAGAGAAAACTTTAAACCACAGCTGATCGCAGTGATATCAACATACATTAAAATCAAAGATTTTAAAATCACAGCATTGAGGAAAAAGAAATACAGTCTGGCAGCATTTTATTACAAAAAAATCTATTTTTCATCAGTAGGATAAGGGCAGATTAACAAGTCGAGACAGCTCAAGTAGACGTCGGCAGGCCGCCGGTAATATTTTGCAAGCTGCGCAACCGCCGTCTTCTTTCGGCTCAAAAGCTATGACCTGGTCCACACTAGGAAACTTTTAATGAGTAACTTTTTCTTAATTCTCTTTTGAAGTTTCCTTAATGTCCACACATGAAAACTTTTGTTTCAGAAACTACGTATTAATTGCATTGATTTGTTGTTGTACGAATGAGAAGAATAACAAAACAAAACAACTTTCCGGGTACGGGAAACTCCGTACCGCGAGAGAGATGAATGATATTCTTTCTCTTTCTCTCTCACGCAAAATCAAAAGTTTCCCAAAAAAAGTTTCCTAGTGTGGACCGGCAGTATGCGGCTTAAAAATAGCAGCTGATATAGATGGAATGGAAAGTTAAATTAAGCTGACAATTTAGCCGCCGCCGATATTTTCTATAATAAGCCGTCGCCGACGACCTAAAATGGTTGCGCCGCCGATCATTTTGCATCGGCTTGTATCTCTGGACCAGGGTGCACTCATTAGGTGAAGTCAATTCTACAAAAACAACAGATGTATATACTTATATCCAAAACTGTAATGGAATAATAAAGTGAAGTCAATTCTACAAAAACAACAAAAGTTGTATGTATATATGTCAAAAAGTGTATATGTTACCAGATTGAAATAATAAAGTGAAGTCAATTCTACAAAAACAACAAAAGTTGTATATATGTATATGTCAAAAAGTGTTATGTTACCAGATCGGTCTTTTTAATATATACCGTAAATAGGGTTCTATAGTTGAAACGAAAAGTCGACTTTTCGACTTTTTGCATTTAGTTAAAAGTCGACTTTTCGACTTTTTCATTTTATGAAAAGTCGATTTTTCGACTTTTCGACCTTTTTCATTTATTTAAAAGTCGACTTTTAGACTTTTAGTATTTTATAAATGGTCGACTTTTCGACTTTTCAACTTTTTCCGACTTTTCGACTTTTTCCGACTTTTCGACTTTTTGATTTTTTACGACTTTTTGACTATTTTCGATTTATTTCGACTTTTTTTCGACTATTTTCGACAATTTTTTTACTTTTTTCGAGTTTTTTCCGACTATTTTAGAGTTTTTGACCTCATTTCCACTTTTTTAAAATTTTCGACTCTTTTCGACTTTTTTCGACTTATCGACTTTTTCCGACTTTTCGACTTTTTTCGACTTTCCGATTTTTTGACTTTTCGACTTTTATTTACAAAGTCGACTTTTCGACTTTTTTCATAGACGATAGTCGAGTTATCGACTTTTTTGGAACAAAATAGTCGCCTTCGACTTTTCGACTTTTTTCGACAAAAAGTCGATTGTTCGATTATTCGAAAGTCGATTTATAGAACCCTAACCGTAAATAAAGAAAATCCCACATGCTTTTTCATAGACGATAGTCGAGTTATCTAGTGCTGTAATATTCTACTACTTTTGATTACTCAATACTTTTCGTTTGGGTACTCAATACTACTCGATACTTTTAACGGTTTTATTTTAAATTAAAAACGAGGAATTTTTCCTTTTTTTAAGTAAAGTTAGACCAGACATCTCACCTCTTTTGATACATTTTATTTTTTTTTAGATTGCGTCAATAAATAACTTTTTAACTATTGCAGTTTTTAAATTATTATACCCACCATCAAAAAAGATGGGGGGTATATTGATTTTGTCATTCCGTTTGTAACACATCGAAATATTGGTCATAGACCCACAAAAGTATATATATTCTTGGTCCTCATTAAATTCTAAGACGATCTAGCCATGTCTGTCCGTCTGTCCGTCTGTCCGTCCGTCCGTCCGTCTGTCTGTCTGTCTGTCTGTCTGTTGAAAGCACGATAGAGTCCGAATGGAAAGAGCTAGAGGATTGAAATTTCACATAAATATTTCTTATAGGTAAGGTTTGTTTGGTATTGAAAATGGGCAATATCGGTCCACGTTTTCGGATAGCCCCCATACAAGTGGCACCTCGAAAATCAGCTTTAACAGCCATAACTTGCTTAAAAATACGAATATAGCGATGAAATTCGACATAAGTAAGTTTCTAATCATCCAAAATCACTATGCAAAATTTTATGAGGATCGGTCCATAATTGACCTACCCCCCATATAAGGTCAAAAAATTACTTTATCGCTTATTACTGGCTTAAAAATACTAGTATATAGATGAAATTCGGCATAAGTAAGTTTCATACGAGTCAAAATCTATCTAAAAACTTTTATGAGGATCGACCCATAATTGACCCTACCCCCCTATATAAGGTCCCCTTCAGAAAATTACTTTAACGCTTATAACTGGCCTAAAAATACGAGTATATAGATGAAATTCGACATAAGTAAGTTTCATTCGAGTCAAACGAGGTTTGATGGTGGGTATATAAGATTCGGCATAGCCGAATATAACACTCTTACTTGTTTTTACATTGATTTGATATTGCTAAGAGTTGCATTTCTAATAATGATATGATCTGTATTAGTTGTAGAGCTGTATTTTTCACATCATAGCCGTTAATTTTAAATAAGTTAAATCCATATACAAGTCCGAAAGTATTGAGTAACTACCTTTTTGTATTGAGTACCCAAAAAATAGGGCAAATACTCGATACCCACTACTCAATACTTTAACAGCACTACAGTTATCAACTTTTCAGGAACAAAATAGTCGACTTCGATTTTTTCGACAAAAAGTCGATTATTCAAAAATTCAAGTGACCCAACTTTAAAAATCGATGTCGTCCATTTTGAAAAAATAAGGGAAAATTAAGTGCCATGTATTGAAAAAAATTTTATTCTTGAGTTAAAAAATAATTTTTTGATAGATTGATATCCCACTCGCATCCCATTATGGGACTATGAAGCCCTTTAAGGAAATTGTATAAGCTGTCTTTTAAGTAAAAAAGGGCCCATTTTGAAAAAAAAAAATTAAAATGTGTGTATATCTATTAGTGAATTTGTTACAAATACACAATTTATTATCATGAATACAATTTTAATTTATAATACATTAAAAAATTTTATTTTTTAATTATATAATGTATGTAATCAATTACAATTGCCAAAAATGTATAATATTAGACTAAAAATAAAAAAACTTATTTTATAACGTATTACAAATACATATTATATTCTTACCCGGTGTTTATATTAGACAAATATTTATCACGGCACTTGACAAAATGTCGGCAGAAAATTTGTCAGTTTTTTGTTTATGTTAATAGGGGTAACAAAACGCTGATTTTATCACGACAACTCACAGATAATTTTATTGAAATAATGCTATATTTTATAAAAACGATTAAAATTAAATGCAAATTTTGTAAATAAACACTAATTTCACTAAAACTAATGTTAAAAATCAATTTTAATTGCACAAAAACAGAATTCTAAACAAATTTTACAATAAAATGACGTTTTTTATCAAGACAACGTTGTCTAAACAATTGTTTAGACAACACTGTCATAACGGCGTTATAACGCTAATAAATGCCGTCTGTACCTGTTAATTTTTTATTATGATAACAATTTGAAGTTTAGCATAATAAATAAATAAAGTTTACTACAAAATTAAATACTCTTGTTTTATTGTGTGGAAATTTTGTTTTTTATTATTACAATTTAAAAAGATTTCAGTAAAAATATTATGTTTAAGATATACATAAAAATATAACGTGAATACCAATATTTTACGTTTGTGCAAGCCTGTTGTGTAGTGTATGAGGGTGTTTCGTTGTTTGTACAAAAGTTACAAAATTTTGATTCTTAAGGCCCAAATAGACTACACAAGCGGCTTGACAAACATACCAATATTTTACGTTTGTGCAAGCCTGTTGTGTAGTGTAGGAGGGTGTTTCGTGTTTGTACAAATGCTTGCTGTTTGTTTGTACAAAAATTAAAAAATTTTGATTTTTACACAAACATAATGAATTTTTGTCAAACCATTTGTATGGTTTATAATCATTAATAACAAATTTTTCAAAAAATTACATTTCTAAGAAAATTTGAGATCTGTACCCCTGAAAATCCACAAAAACGTGAAAAAATCGGTGTTTGTACGAGCAATGTTTGTGTAGTATGTGTGCGAATAAAAAAAGTATGTTTGATAAGCCACTTGTGTAGTCTATTTAGGCCTTAATGATATAAACAATTACTCATTTAATTATAAATTGATATTATTTTAGTATCCTGAAAATTGAATTAATCCCTTTGTAAATAAATGATTTTTTTGTGCATCTGGCAACTCGAAATGATACATTTTGACTTTTGTCACAACTTTCATTAAAAAATATCATTCATCTGTTGAACTGATCTCACCTTATAAGTGCACCCTGGACATAACTATACAGCTTTTGTTGTTTTTGTACAATTTACTTTGCACCTTATTTATTTACCATGGACATAATGTTAGAAACAGTTCAGTCAGCTGTTTTGGACAAATGAAGTAGGACACGAACGATTTTAAACGTGTTATTTGTTGATAACTAATAGCTTTCGTTCAAATTACTGATAAAAAATGTCGAGGGGACAGAAAAATCCATTTAATTATTTATTTTTTATGTTAAGTGTTTTTGTTGCTGGGTCTGTTCTTTTTCTAGCTGGATTCTTTCCAATGTCAAAAAATCTAATTGGTCAAGCTGGCCAACAACATTACGATAGCGTTCAACCCAACAAATTGGGTGAGTATATGTAAGTATGGATATATTTTACAACTACTATAAATTTTGACGTACTTTTGCGTAAATTATATTTTTTATAAGAACAAGTCTTAATTTTTGTATAATTATCATTCTATGATTATCAGAAATTTTTCAGTTTCAGACTGGAATCAACAAACCCAATAGCACACAGAACGATATGCTGC